TTTATTTTTTTTAAAAAGTACTTTAAACTGTATAAATAATGTAAAATTAAATTGATTTAAACAGCCAATCATACGAAAGTCATCCTATGGTATATCACCTGCACTATGTTTGTAATTAGACTTGTATCGAACCGAACAATAAAAATGATATACTAGGCTAATGCGCAGCATTGTATATCCGGAGTTATAATTATCGAATATAATCATGCATCAAAAACGTAACTTTTGTCACGTGTGCGGACAAATCATTTTTCAAAGTTATGTTCTTGATTTTGTTTTCAAAAACGTAACTTCTGATGTACTTTACTCGTCCATTAGGTATCCTCCGCTACGCTCCAGACAATAAAAGTTTAATGAAAACAGCAGACTTTATATGGTTTTTTTTTTATTGACACAAATGTTGACAACTGATTAGATTGATTGAATTTCAACCGTTTTTAAACAATTTTTATTTTTCTCCAAAAATATATATTAAAAATTGAAATACATGTTATCGTATATCGCTATGCTTAATTATACATTTTATAAATTAACATCGTATTATTACTAGATTTCCTCTATCAATTTTTTTCCTTGCTTTGAAGCCAACGACATTAGTAAATCAAATTCACCAGAATTTTGACACATACGGTAAAATAAGGAATTGCTATCGGTAATTAGATTATATGGACTATGTCGGTGGGTGATATATAAACACATAAATATATTAATAAATGACGTGAATGCACATTACGATAAAATTATTTGCTTACCTGTCAAATTCTATTATATTTCCTCGATCTTGAAATATATATATATATATATATAAAAAAACTTAAGATCAATTCTTTAAAAAGATCAATAAATAAGAATTTATTTCATACCAATAACTAGTATCCTATCATAATCAATAACAGTACGTAACCGATGTGCAATACATAATATAGTACAGTCAGCAAATTCAGTTCTTATCATTTTTTGAATTTTTTCATCCATAGCAAAATCAATGCTAATAATTAAAGGGAAATGAAATAAGTGAGCTGATACATTGAGTTAAATATTTTAAACAAAATTTTTGGTACTGTAATACCTCGCTGTGGCTTCATCCATCAATATGATCTTTGAACTTCTCAACAAAGCTCGAGCCAGACACAATAATTGTCTTTGGCCTTGACTAAAATTTTTTCCGCCTTCACTTACAGGTGTATCCAAATTTTTAAATAAATTGATATTATCACCTGAAAATGAGGCAGCATCCGCATTCTCTTCAGAAGGAATTAAATGAACACGTTGCAGAGATTCCAATATTTCACTATCATCATATTGAGAAAACGCGTCAAGGTTTGACCGTATAGTACCTAAGAACGGTTGCATTATTACCTTATTAGCAAAAGTCGAATAATAGTTAACCTCTGACTCGAATTACCTGTAAATAATATTGGATCTTGTGGAATTATAGTTATTCTCGATCGAAGATCTTCAACACCGACCGATGAAATATCGATTTCATCAACTAAAATTCTTCCATCCGATGGTTCCACGAATCGAAACAATGCCAATGCTATTGTTGACTTTCCAGACCCGGTACGTCCAACAAGTCCTATTTTTTCTTGACCTTCAATACTGAATGAAATGTGATGTAGTACTGATTCTAGATCGGGTGCATATTTAACTTCCAAGTTTTCTACCTTAATTGCACCACTATGTGGCCAGCAAGCAGGTGGTCTCGGTTCGATTATAGCTGGAGCTTCTTGAGGAATTTCAGAAAACTCACATACTCTTTCAACAGCATTCAAACTCATTTCAAGAGAAGTATATTTTCTAACAGTCCACATTATTTGCTCTGTAAAACTCATTGCAAACGACAAGGACAAACCAGCTAAACCAGCATCAATTCGGTCAATATTCCATAGAATGAAAGTACCGGCTAAAAATGAAACAAATGAACCAGTAATGTTGAAACGAATTGAAAGCCAACGATTTATTAGCCATACATGAAAGAATGGGCGACTGTTGTTATCTATTCTGTGATAGAAATGATAGATAACACATTAATTAAATGTAAAGTACGTGAAAAAATTTAATAAATCAATATACAAACTTTATTAGCATTTCTTGCATGAACCGCTTTGATGCACCGAAAGCTCTGATTGTTGTTATGCCACTACAAACGACGCAACATTATTAAAAACAATAAAATATATATATATATACATAAAATATTATTCTAACACTCACATTAGAGTTTCAGTGAAATGAGAATAGAGCGGGGATCTTGATACAGAATCCATCCTCTTGAGTTCCCGAGATGCCTTCGAGTATAGTACACCAACAATTGTATAAATAATACCTATAAATTAAAAAAAAAAAGCTTGTATTCATTGTTATCGCAAGAGGTAGAACCAACAAAAAATGACAATGACGAATTTACCAAAAAAGATTGCCGCAACGAGAAACTCTATTAATTATGATCACAATTTTAGATTTAATAATTATATATTTAAAGAGCATAATTGAAAAAATTCCAATACCTTTTGTAATGACCGTTACAACAACCAAAGTACCCAACATCATGAGTGCCTGAAAAAAATACATTGAGTAAGCTATAAAATTATATACTCATCGACATCAAGACATTTGAATATAACGACATCCAGATACAAAGACATCTGAATATAACATCTGGATATAACGATATCTAGATGTAAGACATCATCGTAAAATCTTTATATAACAATATTTTAAAATTTTTCTTACAAAATATCGTTATAAAACTTAATTATTTGAATAGTAACGACATTTTAAATTTTTTACTGTTTAAGATAATGTCGTTATAACCAGAGTTATGAGTAATATTCATAAAGTGTAACAAACAAAATGTATTTACATTGACCAAAAACCATGAAAGTTCGCCTGAAAAAAAAATATATTTAGAGAAAATAAGGAAAAAATAATTATAATCATAACACCAAGATAAATTTACCTGCTAAAGTACTATCAATTGTTTCAAAATCCTTGCTGAACCTATTAAGAATTCTCCCAACTGGGGTTGTATCAAAAAATCTTAATGGGGCGCGAATAACTTGATGAAGTAGTTTTTGATAAAGTTTTTTAGACGCTCTCAAAGATCCATAATAAAGACAAACAAAGCGCGAAACACCAACGATAATAGACAAAATTGTAATCATCACGTATATATTTAAATAATAATCAACACTATGTGGCTTATGAATATCGTCGAATATTCCATTAACCATGATTAAATTATTTTGTTGAACAAAATTGAAAATTGTTGGAATTGTCTCGTTATTGCTGTTGGCATTTGACCAAACTTGAAGCCACCAATTTTCCATTATCGTTATTCCTCTGGTGCCAATAAAAAATACAGCAACAATCAACCAATAAAGTATATTTCCATTTGCACGAAAATATGACTTGTAAATCTTAAACTTAACCATGCCAGTTGGTCGCGCTAATAATTACAATCAGAAGATAAACATACGTTTTTCCTAAACCCTAACCAAATCAACAAATAAACGACGAGACATACCTTCTTCTTCGATAAGCACTTTTGGTTTGGAGACTTTTTTTGTTGGTTGTGAATCATCATTCGCCCTAATGACATTCTCGACGAGAGTTGCATCAGAAGCAGTTGATAAATCGGTACTGTGACCAAAATTGGATGAAGATGAGGTTAACTGCTCGGAGACTTTACTGGCATCGACAGCATTTTCTGCGGCTAATTCAACGGAATTCACTAATTCTGATTGTCTATCATTCTCATCAAGGATCGAGGCCAATATTCCTGAGTTACGTAATTCTGAAATCGTACCCGACGTAACAACTTTTCCATTGTCGACGGCAACCTTGAATAAATTGGTCGTAATTAGTAAAATATTAAATAATTGTTAAAAATGCACCTTTATTACATATTGTTTATGCCATACCAAATAAGCGGCATCAGCCGAACAGAGTCTGACATGATGCGTTACAAGAATCCGGGTACGTCCCTTCATAATAGGACCTAATATACATTTATTCATCAATTGAAAAGCAGTATGTGCGTCAACAGCACTGAAAACGTCATCCATGTATATATGTTTTGCTCGCGAATAGACAGCTCTATGAAATTTACAATTTAACATCAAATGAATGAATAATTAATCAAAATTTAAAAATTAACATAAATAAATTTATCTTGCTAAAGCGACGCGCATCTTCTGACCACCACTTAGTGTAATTCCTTTTTCACCAATTTCTGTCATGTCTCCATCTTCTAGTATCTGAAAATCTTTTTCCAGTTCGCATACTTTTATAACTTGATTATAACGACTTTCATTGTAAGGAAGACCAAAAAGAATATTATCACGAATAGAAGCATTCTGAAGCCATGTTTGCTGTGCAACGAAAGCAATACAATTCGAAAGAATCCAGTTGTTTTCATTGATATTATTATTAACAGGATATGTTAAACAATATGGACTATTGATCTTGCCACTAATGATATTTGTTTCTGTTGATAAAGATGTCAAATCATTATTGATGAAGGTAATATGGTTTATTAAAAAAAGTATCATATTGAATTGGAATTATTTACCTCCAAGAAGTGACATTAATAATAATGTCTTTAATAAATGTGCATTATATTAATATTAATATTTATTAGAAATAGTTTTAAATATTCATATTTGCAAGCGTGCTATACTCAACCTTCCCGGACCCGGTTGGTCCACCTAAAACATATATAACATAAGCAAATGTATATAATATAGCACGAATGAATGTTTTTTTTTTAAAAAAAACTTACAAATGATGCTTAATTCGCCCACAGGAAATTTCAAGTCCAAATCATGCATAGTAAACTCATCGCTATTTTCCTTAACTTTATTCCATGAGACAGTTGCTTTTTCAAAGGAGATTGATGTCATAAATTGATAATCATTTTCAGATGAAATATCGGTCTCATCTTCGTCTAAAAATTTTTCTATTCTATGTATGCTGATCAATGCTTGAAGTCCTTCCATAAAAACTTCAGGCAGAATATTAAGGGCAAATCGAAGTTCATTGAAAATAGCTATCGAAGTAAAAGCAATGGCAGCTGTAAGCTCATTTCCTTGAATTTTTGTGAAGAAGAAAAAACTGAGAATAGTGACAAAGATAGGTGACGCAGTCCACAATAGATCAAATATGGATAAATAAATAAAGTTATTTCGAAGTTGTTTAAGTTCAACCTTTCGAGCCTCTACAAAAAAAAAAGCATGATTTTCAATATGTGTAAATCTTACAGATCATGCGAAAAAAAAGGAAAGTAGTATGTACTCAATATTTTTTTTTCCCAATTCTTTTCCCAGGAAAAGAATTTAATCATACGAATGCCTTGCAAAACCTTTCATTTGAAGTAAAGTAAGTATACAAAGGCATATATTAGTAATACATTACATTATGTTACATTATAGGACTTACTTCATTCATAAGTCCCACCCTACGATCTCTAGCATTCATCAGTTTGTCTTGAGTTTTTGCAGATAGCTTGGCCGTTTGATGATTAATTGGAAGTGTAATTACCATAACCGACAAACCGAGCAAACAAGACACACCCAATAATTGATACAAAAAATAAACACCAACTACTAATTCTACCGGACTATCAATTGCACTTGTCCACCATACGGAGAAGTCACCAACACGATTTGTATCAATTGACATAAGATTAGTAACCTTGCCAACAGATGAATTATCATCGTCGGCAACGTCTAAATTATCCTCAGATTTATTAGATTCATCTTTCACAGTCGAAACATGAGAATCAACTCGCTTTAAACTTTTTGAATAGATTTCGGAATTAAGCATCCCTTTTATGCTAACATTAAGTACACTTGAGGCCCAAAACCAATTCTGTGCAACAGTAAAATGTAACAAAATATATGATATAAACATTCCAAATACATATATAAATCCAAGCTCTAAAGATCCATTTTCAGGTCTTGTTTGAATAAATGATATAAAACGATATAAAAAAATCATTGGTGCATAATATAATGCAGCACCCATCATTGTGAATAAAAGTTGTAAGCCTATGACACGTTTATTAGCCACTATTATTCGATACAAAAGTCTATTTCCTCTGGTTTTTTTAAAAGCATTATATAATGACCTAGCTTGATAAACAAATGGAAGTAAGTCAAGTTCATCATCATCAAAAGTCTTTTGTTTGTAAATTTTGTAAATTAATTTAGAAACAGAAGAGTAAGTAATAAAGTCCCATATAGAACAATACTGGATTGCACAAACAGCTCTTCCATTTTGAAGTACAGGTGGACCCCTCGGAGTTGTGATAGCAATAGATGTAGCCACCACAGAGAAAATAAAATTACATATTATAATTAATTTTTCGATTATTTCGTCTATGCGATAAGAATCACTTAGTCTTAACTTTACAATTGTTGTAAGTTGCCAAAGTGAGCATAGGGAGGTGGTAAAAAAAAATGCAGTCAAATATGCATTTAATATCCATCTCCAATGTCTCGATCTCAATGACAAGGCAATAATTGAAATTGTAAGCGCATAAAACTTTCAGATCGTCAGATCGAAGGTATCAAAAATAAAACATGATAAATAAATGATATCGACAATAGAGAAAGCTAAGTGAAATAATCAAAAATAATAATAGACTTACCCAACAAATTGCAAGAATCCCAGGACTTATCGTATCAAAATTTAGACTATTCCCATTTCTAAATCTCCAAAAGAACAAGAAAGCAAATAATCCAGTCTGCAATATCGTAACCCCAAGTTTGGAGACGTCCCTTTTTATCGTCGAAAAGCGCGCATTATCAACTATATCATCGGAAACTTCGTCTGATGGTATTTCAATATATTTTTTTCGATTTTTAATTGTTTGTAAAATTATAGATATACTACTGACTACCGCGACAATTGCCGGAGGAAGTGTATCCACTATAGACATTTTTTTTTTGTAAATTTTTCCGTGAAAGCAGCTATATTTAAATGGATTCTTGTGCAACCTTTTCAAAAAATTTTATGTTCATTATCGTTATCTTTCCGCATGCATCGTACTACATGAACACGTGCATTAATAATAGGTGGTAGAATTAATAACGAAGATTCCAAAAATATACTTTGGAATTTGGCTGAGCAATTCACAGGATCACAGGATAATCGCATCAATGCTAACGTCATAGAAGGATCCTCTTCCGATTTGCTGATTTCGACCAATTCCCAGGCCTATCGCTATTACCATGTCAATTTTTTATACCTTTTTGAGATTGTAACGATTCTACGTATTGTTGCTTTGGTTATTTACTGCGTACTGCGCAAAATGATACTAAACCAAGATTGGCTAAAGTTCATTTAGAATAGCAATTCCGTACTGATTACTGGATTAGGGGGTGCAAACCCGCTTTTTTTTTTTTTTTACGGTGACGAATGCCAATAATGAAAATATCGCCATTACATGATGTCTATCATCCGCGAAAATGAATAAATAAAATGAAAGTTAATAATGGTAAACGATAGTTTGTTGCTATTTAATTAAGAATGGTTTATCCGTGTTTAATGATTTAAGCTTAAACGAATGCTACGAATCTTGACATTCATTTAAGCTCAAAATCATCAAAAAGGGAATTGGTCATTTGAGATATCGGCATTATACTATAGCGTAATTATGGCAAAATTTGCATTATCTATCTAAGCCATTCCTTTTATGATTTTGGGCTTAAACAAATTCCAAGATTTGTAGCATTCATTTGATTGAAATATTAGCATATATTATACAATAATTTAAGGATCACAATGTTAGGGGTTGGGGCAAAAGTAACGCCCAATGGTTTTCTGCGGTGGTTAATATTAAGACCTAATTCTGCGTGCGGCTAAGGGCAAATTCTGTGATTTGCTGCGGTAAATTTTTTTTATGAATCCTGTGCAATCTCATGACTTTCTGTGCAATCCTGCACTTATACATAAAAAAAAAATTTATTTATATCTGATATCAAAAACAAATTTACGTTATAAGTTATCTCTTAAAAATAAAAAAAGCTCACACTATTATATATTTCTTATACAGTCGTCCTCCTCTACAGTCACCTTCTATATAATCACGCCCTCTTTATAAGCACCATTTTTTGAAAAATTATTGGCAATATATTTATTAAAAAAACTCTATATAATCACATTACTATTAAAATTTTATAATC